TAAACCTACCGTAACTCCGCAAAAAGGTCCTAAAACGTAAGGAGAGTATGATATCCGTGAACAGCATGTGAAACCGCCCCTCTAGACCGAGTTCCAGCCGAATTTGAGGTTTTGTCCTCCTGCCGTAAACCTACCGTAACTTCACGAAAAGGCTCCGAAATGCATAAAGAGCATGTTATTGGTGAAAGTCAAATACATGTCAAATAACCCTCTAGGTCAAGTTTCAGCGAAATCCGTGATTTTGAGCCCCTACCGTATACACATCATAACCCTAGAAAATGGCGCTACCGTACTGAATGAATATTACGCGGCATCAGCGGGTCGAATAACACTCCTGGGCCAAGTTCCAGCGAATTTTGTGGTTCTGAGTTTTTGGGGCCCGTTAAGTGAATGGTACCAAAAGTTTGTATGTTTAGCTCCGCGAAAGCTGACACCTCAGGAAAAGCGGAAAAAATATGCTTGTTCCCGTTGTGGCAGAGGACCGATGAGACGATGCCATCTGTACGTCCATTATCGCGATGTCCATCATATGAAGAAAGAAGAAATTGAGGCCATAAAGAAGGAGATTGGGAGGGCTTCCAAGGAAAATCGAAACCCAATTGCATGCAATATTTGTGGAGGACAGTTTTTTTCGCACAGCGGCCTTTGGGTGCACAAAAAGGTGATACTAAAATTCTGGCGAAACCTTTCTATATCGTTCTATCTACTCCATTATTTGTGTTTTAGAAAGTGCATCAGCTTGTTCCTAAAGAAGGAACTATCACATGTCCTGCTTGTTCGAAAAAACTGCAGACCGTGGAAGAGTTGGCAACGCATTGCAATTCCCAGCATGACCGCGGAAACAGCACGCATGGCACTTTTGCTGTGAAAAGTGGAACCTTTGCGAGCCGCACTGAATTTGAGGTTTGCATAAATAATCGCACTAAAGGTAGAGATTATCATACATTGCTGTAGGCGTGGTTGAACGATGTTGAGAATATCACATGTAGTAATTTTGTTACTCGAACATCACGGTGCACCTCGCGTGGGAAGATAGTGTACCTGCGCTGCAGATTTTCGGGAGGGACTGGAGCCATCGTTGATCCTAAAATTCTCAAACGGGCGTACAGAACAAGTGTAAAAGTTCATCGAGACTGCCCCGCTTTTCTTAAGGTATCACGATGTTCACATCCACCAATGGGACCGTATAGATAGTAGCTGATTTCTTCCAGGTTGTCGAAGACACCAATGGCTTTGTCCATTATAAATATTGCGCAGGCCATTTAGGCCACAAATTAACGACAGAAGCTCTTCGATCCGCGCCTGCCAGCGATGTGCAGCACAGAAGGCTGTCAGATCTTGCTCCTACAGAACCCATCGTATGTCCCTTTCCTACAGACTGCATTTTTATGATTATCAACTTCACATTATTGACAGCGACATCTACAGATCGTGAGTGATGACGTTCCTGAGGAATGCGAAACAGTGTCTCTGGATTCACCACCTGCATTTGAAAGTTGCTCTTCGGTCGATACGCTTAGTAGGGCGGAGGATGAGTTCAATCAACTTGACGTTGTATGCATACCGTCTATTGCGTCCAATATCTGCTTCTATTGCCTACTGCAGGTGGTCGCCCAAATGTTTGAAGAAATGAAAAAGTCTCTGAAGAACAACGATCCAGAACGCATACAACTAATGAGGCAAGCGATTGAGGAGAAAATGGAAGAGATTTCTCGGGGAAGTACCAAAGCTTCCCTGACAGAAGAACTTGCAAAAAAGTAGTATAAACTTTCAAACCAGGTTAGCGGTATTTTACAGGTTTCAATCAGTCCCTCAAACCATTGTGAAAAATTGTTCAGAGAAGAAGATATCAGTGCGAAAACGAGTTAACATCTTCGCACTGTCCGTGGTATGCTTCTCGTCGAGGAAAGGTCCGTCGCTCTTTGTATCGTAACTACAGCACAGCTTTTCTATAATAGTTGGTTATGGTTATCATGATGACTCACTCTTTCAGCATTTTTTCCACAGACTTCTTATAGTGTAACGCTCAAATCTCCGATGCCAAATCTTGCAAAGCAGTGGTCCTATTCTGCATTGTTGCAAATTATACTATTGTTTTCGAGAATCGAAAAATGTTGCCGATACACTGCTACGTTGTAGCGGCAATGAGTAGTAAAAATGGCTCGTTTTTTGTTCTTTTCTTGAAAATTATTGTTGTTTAAAAGCCTCTATGGAAAATTTCTACGAAATTCACTTGTGACTGGCTTTCGCAGAATGATAGCGTTGTACATAGTCAAGAGCCTCATATTATTATGCTTGATTGCAGTATGTATCAGATCATTTTACTGATTGCATTCGTTTCTGTCAATCTGATAAATGTTAAAGATTTCTAGCAAAAAGTTGACACGGTCCTTGAAGGGGTGAAGCGACGATAAAAGAAAATTGTACTATTGTGCATCTATTTCCTAGCGACACTATCACTACCTGTTAATGTATTGAGCAATAATGATTTGTTACTTAGGACGACTATTTCCCGAATTGCATGATTTGACGGTCAGAAATGTCTCGACCCCATGTCCTGCAAGTACGCTTATTCACCAAATGTCCAAAGCACCGGAATATAAACTCATGTGTTGCGCTCTTACTCGACAAGGATTCCCATGCTTGCGGCCGTGAGTATTAGCGGGTAAATAGTCAATCAATCACACAGTAGCCGCTGAACTTGCTGGGCATGCTGTTTCTTCATTGCACCGAAGTTTCTTTGAGAAGCACATTTTCAGTTTCTCGGGGTGGTTTTGAAATTGCCCGCCAAACCTACAGATGTTCAAGGTAAATAAGCAACTTAGAGTAAGAGGTTTCGTTTGAATGTTTCGGGGTGGAGGACATGAGGTCGCCGAATGTGAAAGGGTGCGCGGACAATGCATCAACTCAGCCTATGCACGTATTGGAATGTGTATTTATTGCAG